TGCACAATCTGAAAAAATTTCAAAATTTTCCTTGCATTGTAATGAAGTGTAGAGTTTGACAATTATCCATCCATACATTGGATTGTATTAATATGCAAAGTTTCATTCTTTTCCATGCACGCAAGGTGAAAATAATCCATCCATGCATTGATTTGGAAGCATGTTGCAAGGTTTTATCAATTCTTCAGCTCTCAGTTGATCATGTATACATTCACAATGCATAAGAATGAGGCACCTAATGGAATGACATGCAAAGTTCATCTCTCAACCTCATTGCATAATGTTACAATGCATGCAAAAATTCATCTCTCAACCTCAATGCTACTGCCTTCATTTCGAGCACTCTATTTCCTCTTTGGAGTGCTCGAAAGCTCTATGAAGCTTGCACAAAACCATTCCGAGGCTACTGCTTGTATTTCAAGCGCTCGAAGTCCATTTTCGAGTGCTCGAAATGTGAACCAATCTCATCCCAAGCTCACTGCCCTCCCTTCGAGCTCTCTAGCTTTCATTTCGAGTGCTCGCCAATCCCACACAACCATGCAACCATTCTCCTCTCTGCCTGTACTTCGAGCACTCGAAGCAAGCATTTCGAGTGCTCGAAACCTGCTCGACTAACCAAACCAACCTCCTGCAACAAAACAAGCATTAACCAACCATCCCAACAACCACCATACTCCCCTTGCATGATCCCATCCCCACGGCCTGCATGCATGCATGCAAGCCCCATGCATGCATGCACCTCCATCTTCCCTCATCTCCCACCATCCAACACCATCTCTCTGCAACACTCAACCACCATGCTCACAACAACCCCCTCTCGGCATCTCTACAGACCAACTTCCACAACCCACCAACCTGCATCCATCTTACAACCTATCTCGGCTGCCTTCAATTCGAGTGCTCGCAGGCTCAGTTCGAGCACTCGAATCAACCTCCTCACCAACCCAGCCTCAATCACTCTCGGCTTATCTCCATGCAAACCGCAACCAACCTCTCATGCAACACTCCACGACCTGCATCAAAACCAACCTACCCTCTCCTTAGGCTCCAACCACACAACTTCACCTGCTTACCACCCCCATGCAGCACAAACCCACCAACTCACCCCTAAACTCCCTCTCTCTCGGCAACATACCACACCACCCCTCTCGGCAAATCATCAACCCAACCTCACTTCTATCCATGCACCAACCCACAAACAAACCCCTCGACATCACTCTCCACCATCCTAACACCATCCCACAACAGCCGAGCCCTCTGCTTGTTTTTCGAGCACTCGTCGCTCCTAGCTCGAGTGCTCGAACCACTCTCTTCAACCTACACAAACCACAACCCACTTCCCTCTCGCAACCAACCAACCTCCTCAACTTCTCCAAACCTCTCTCTATCTCGGCATCCAACCCTCATCCCTCCCCAACCATGCCAAACACCACCCTCACCACCTCCACGCATGCACACCATGCACGCCAAACCAACCTCACCCCATGCCCATGCCAACCCCTCGGCATCTCTCTCCACACATCAACCAACCAACACCATTCCCCCAACCCCCATTTCCTGCAACCTACCCAAACCATCCCTCTCAAACCAACCAACCTCACCCCTTACTCCTCTCGGCAGCCATCAACTTCTCCTCCATGCAACCAATCCAAACTCACCCTCCCTCTAACCATGCATGCATGCCAAAAAAAAAAAAAAAAAATTGTATAGATTTTTGTCTTTCTTTAACATTCATGTTTGTATTCTTATTTATGTTTTGATTTTTCTTAAAAGACCTATGCTTTTACCTGTGTACATTAGTTGTGTTTGGATAGGTCTTCGTGTCCAAGTTTGGGGGACGCTTCTGCGCATTCACATCGATGGATATCTTTTGTCTTCGTCACTCCACTTGGTATTATTGTTCTTTTACCTTCTTTGCTCTTATTTTGTTTCACTTGTCTTCACACTTTGAGGACAATGTGACATTCAAGTTTGGGGGTGCATTTATGCATTTTTGGTTTCATAATTTCTGCTAAGCAATGATAGTATAACTTGACACTTGTCGGAGATGAAACATATGTTTAATACCTTGTGTATAGAAGCAATTGACATTTTTGAAAATAAAGAAAAATTTGAGTTGAAATGATCATGTAGATTCAAATTAGTCTTTATAAATGTCTCAATTAAATTCTCGCTGGATTTAACACTCTTTTAAGCTTCACAATGCACAGATGCACATTGGAAACTTAACTGTGAGGCATGCAACTTGATCGACCTTGACCTTGGCCTAGTTAATTTGATTTGATGAACCTGATAGATGAATGTCTTTGGCATGATTTAAGTTGTCTAAAAAAAAAAAAAAAACTGAGAAAGAAAGAAAATAATGACCAGTTGACATTCGTAGCCTTTCCAACTCGAGCTATTAAGCCCTAGGAGTGTCTCTATACTTAGCACCCTAAAGCGGTCTGGTTTGGGAGTTGTTGGCCTAACGCTTGCTACAAGGGTTGGTTAGAAAGCTTAAAGGACTTAAACATTGTACGGTCATTCAAAAAAATTGTAATAAAACATGGTTCGCTAGAGTTCGTAGCCTTTCCAACTTGAGCTATTAAGCCGTTCGGAGTGTCTCTACACTTAACATCCTAAAGCCATCTGGTTTGGGAGTTGTTGGCCTAACGCTTGCTACATAAGTTGGTTAGAAAGCTTAAGGGACTTCAGCATTGCACAACCATTCTATGTTTCGCTTATGAGTTGCAATAAATTGTCAACAAGCAACAAAAGTTGTCTTGTAAATAAAATCATGCCTTAGGGACCTCATTTAAAGGGGAATTCAATGATTTGAAAACTTGTGCTTTGGAATTGGAAAAGAAAGTAAAAGCCGCATGTTGAGAATCCAATTCACTTCCACTAAAGCTAGAGTTGATTTCCATTCAAGAGATGATAATTGAGTTATTTATATAGACTTTGATGTTGATGCATGTATGTGGAAATGTATTTAGCCAATTTTTGTATCAATGCTTCATATATGCAAGGTAGTCTTCCCAATGACCCCATCTCCAGCTCTTTTTCTATTTCAAGTTATTTTTGAGCAATGTATATATCTTATTTTACCATGGATGATATTTTTGTAGTAGCAAGCCCATGGTTGTCTTTTCATTAAGTTTTTCATTGTAGTTTTGCTAAGGGACTAGCAAAATGTAAGTTTGGAGGTGTGATAAGCGCCGAATATTGTATATTCAAGCGCCCTAAATTGCATTAGTAAAGTCCGTTGTATGTTAATTTATGTAGATTATCTTCATTTCTATGTTTTTATGCATTTTCAGGTTCATTGGCCAAAATGGAACAAGAATAAGGCCTTGTGGAATCTTGAGCAACAAAAGGTGCCCATTCTGAATTCTGGCAGCAGTAGAACCTGGACTTTGCTCGCCATTTTGACCTTCCAAACTCGAGAAATGGACTTCCCTCATAACATGAAAGATTTAGAGCTCTGAATTAGATTTCTAAATCTTCAAACGGTTTGTCATTCGGAGCTCGGACCAGAGAGTTATGGCCTTGTTACCAGAGGTGCGCAGAACTGCCTGGCAGCAATGAAATTCTGCCTTGATCTTCATTTTTGACCAACCATACTTGAGAATTGGATCTCCACCAAAACATGAAATATTTAGATCTCTGAATTAGCTTTCTAAATCTTTAAACGGTTCATCATTCGGAGTTCGGAGCGTAAAGTTATGGCTATTTAACCAAAGTAGGTCTGGGCGGAGCAAGTGAAGCATGGAGCTTTTTACACTAAATTCGAGTGCTCGAGGCCTTGCTTAGAGTGCTCGAATTTTGGGCAGAATGCCCTTCGGAAATGGCTCATTTCAGCCCACTTGCACCTTGGTTTCTTCATTTTGTTTTCCTCTTTAATGAAGTGGTTGGAGATGTTGGTTGGTGGCCTTTTGGTAGTAGATAAGAGGGATAAGAGCCACACAATACAAAGGTTTTTCATTCTACAAGATTAGAAGAGGGAGAAGAGAGCAAAGGGGAGGAGTTCTTAAAGCTTCAAGAAGGAAGCTCGAAAATGGAGATGGAGTCTTCTGCTTCTTCTTCTTCCATTTTTGTATCCATGGATAACTAAACCTCCATCTAGGGAGGTGATGAAACTCCTCCTTGTAAGCATGTCTAGTTTTTGATTTATTTTGGGGAATGAAATGTGTATTTGACTAGTTCCATAATCTAGAGCATGTTACATAATGTAATGGATGTTTTAATGTTCTAAAGATCATGTTGCATTAAATACTCTTGTCTTAGATGATTTAATCTCATGGTTGTATGGCTTGTAGTTTCATAGTGACAATGGAGCTAAGACTATGGAATGGTTTTAATGGCATGATTTTGAGTAGCTTGTTAATTCATTGCTTAAGAATTTCTTTTGATGGATTAACCTTGTGACTTGTTATCATGTGCTCTCATCAATTGATTACTTGTTTGACAATCTCTAGCTTAGTGAGCATGTTGAGGATTGCACCATAGTTTAGGTAATTTAAGCATGTGGAGCTTTGATAGGTTGTTCTTACATTTTAATTAATTGAATTTCTTGAAGATGATATAGTAGTCATGAATTGCTATTTATCAAGGTCATTTCTACATTAATTCCCCAAATCAATCATATAATTAGCTTGTGTAGAGGTTTGGAGTGGATTCACTTCCCTAGACTTCCTTCTCTAAATTTTCTCTTTTAATCTCCTTCAATTTATTGTTGTATGCATTCTGAATTTGTAGTTAAGTCACAACAAACACAACCTCTATGAACACCCCTTCATCATCCTAAGAATGACTCTAAACACTTAGGTTGCCTTAGACTAGCGCAGTCCCAGTGGTTCGACTTACCCGACCAATAGCCCTATTTTACAATGATTCGTGCTATTGCGAAGGTTGATGTATAGTTGATCAACCGATCAACTCATATGCCAGTTGGGTCTAAAAAGAGTAGAGTCGTTTATTTTCAGTGTCAACAGCCTATACATTACAAGTCTAATTGTCCTATGAAATCGACTTTAGTTTCTTCAGCACCGAGAGCTTGTTATGGGTGTGGCCAGCAAGGCTATTTGATTCGAGACTGTCCGAATCAAGGAGCAGGCACCGGTAGTGGTAGAGAGTCACAGCAGAGACAGTCACAGTCGGCTACAGCGCAGTCAGGTTTCAGACCACCACCACCACAACCTGCCATGTCTTCTCAGGGTTCATAACCAGTTTGGAGGGATACTCTTACTATTTCAGTGCAGTAGTTAGGTGTCTAGGTTGGCAGTTCACAGGCACAGGCGCCACAGGGGCGTGTCTTTGCACTTGCACAGACTGCTGCATCTTCTGGTCGATCAGTTCTCTGAGGTATCTTTCCAGTGTTTGGTTCTTGGGCTCGTGTTCTCTTTGACTCTGGTGCATCTCATTCCTTCATTGCATCATCGTTTGCACTTACATCAGGGTTAGAGGTCAATTTCATGGATCGGGCGTTATGTATTGATACGCCAATATGTATTTAATGTCTTTGAACAGAGTTGTGAGGGATTGCTCCAACGTGATAGTTGTGCGAACTTTCGTGTTTGATCTCATCCTACTGGAGATGACTAGCTTTGACGTCATTCTTGGGATGGATTGGCTAGCTTCATTTCATGCTACGATTGATTGTTTTAGAGGAAGAGTTACAGTTTGCACTCCTGAGGAAGGTTGTTTCTTTTTCGTGGGAGATCGGAGTGATTCCCACACTTTATCGTTTTATGGAATTCGTAAACGGAGTCGTGGTGATTACTTCTTGGCTAGTCTTTTAGCCGAACATGATGATGTTGTGGAAAAGGATTATCCGGCAGTTGTTCGTGATTTCTTGGATGTTTTTCCAGAGGACTTGACAGAGTTGCCTCCACATTGAGAAATAGAGTTTATTATTGATTTGATGCCCAGTACTGCGCCAATTTCTATGGCACCGTATCGTATGGCACCAATGGAGTTGGAAGAATTGAAGAAGCAGCTTGATGATTTAAGGATGAAAGGTTTCATCTAACCGAGTGTGTCACCTTCGGGCACACCGGTCTTGTTTGCTAAGAAGAAAGATGGTTCTTTGAGGTTGTGCATTGATTTCCGGAAGTTAAATCATGCCACCATCAAGAACAAGTATCCTTTGTGACGGATAGATGATTTGTTTGACCAGTTGAAGGGAGCAAGTTGCTTCTCAAATATTAACTTGAGGTTATGATATTATTAGTTATGCGTTAAGGATGAGGATATTCCGAAGACAGCGGTCCATACACGGTATGGACACTATGAGTTCTTTGTTATGCCTTTTGGCTTAATTAATGTGCCAGCGGCATTCATAGACTTGATGAACCGTGTCATTCATGATTACTTGGACCAGTTTGTGGTAGTTTTTGTGGGTGACATCCTTGTATACTCGCGGACTCGGGAAGAGCACGAGATCCATTTGAGTATTGTATTGCAGATTTTACGAGAGCACTATTTGTATGCCAAATGTGAAAAGTGTGAGTTTTTGGCTACAAGAGGTGAAATTTTTGGGGCATGTTATCTTAGAAGGTGGAGTGTCAGTGGATCCATCAAAGATAGAAGTGGTTTTGAATTGGGAGCAACCCAATAATGTTTTTAAGATCTAGAGTTTTCTTGGCCTAGCGGGTTATTATCATAGATTTGTGAAGGATTTTTCCCATTTAGTAGCACCTATGACTCACTTAACTCATAAGGGGATCAAGTTTATGTGGAATGAAGCATGTGACTCATCCTTTCAAGAGTTAAGGACAAGGTTGACTACGGCTCCAGTGTTGGTGATACCTAAGCATGGCTTGGGTTATGTGATCTATTGTAACGCTTCACGTGATGGTTTGGGGTGTGTGCTGATGCAGAATGGTAGAGTCGTGGCTTATGGGTCTTGGCAATTGAAGACTCACGAGTACAACTACCCTACTCATGACCTGGAGTTAGCGACAGTCGTGTTTGCTTTGAAGTATTGGAGACATTACTTGTATGGTGAGAGATTCGAGGTGTTCTCGGATCACAAGAGTCTCAAGTACCTATTCTCTTAAAAGGACTTGAACAACAGACAAAAACGGTGGGTTGAATTTTTGAAATATTATAACCTTAACTTGCAATATCATCCGGGCAAGGCAAATGTGATAGCAGATGCCTTAAGCCGGAAATCTCATGGGACTTTGGCCAGTTTAGCCATTCAAAAGTGGAAGATGCCTGAAGATCTGGCAGAGATGGGATTGCAATGTTTTGACGACGATGCTTGCAGTAAGTCGGCATTCTTGTTTAGTCTCGTAGTTCAGCCTACTCTTGTTAAACGAGTGATTGAGTCACAGAGACAGGACTCATAACTGGATGCCATTTGCACTTTGATCTCTAGTGGTGAGACGAAGAAATATTGGACCTTACATGTAAATGGAGGTCTACAGTTCAGGGGTTTGTTAGTTGTTCCCACAGTTTGTCCTAAGGACGTTTTACGGGAGTTTTATGCTTCCCGCTTTGCAGTTCATCCAGGTGGTACCAAGATGTATCACAATTTGAGATGTCAATATTGGTGGAACGGAATGAAAAGGGATGTTGTATAGTTTGTGGCTAAGTGCTTTACCTGTCAGCAAGTGAAAGCTAAGCATTAAAGACCAGCCGGTTTATTGCAACCATTGCTGGTAGTGCAGTGGAAATGGGAGCAGATTGCTATGGATTTTGTTACTGGTCTTCCCAAGTCCCGGAGAGGCAAAGAAGACGTATGGGTCATCATTGATAGACTGACCAAGACGGCTCACTTTTTGCCTATTAAGGCAACAGATGATGCAAAGGCACTTGGTGTGCTATATGTAAAAGAGATTGTGAGGTTGCATGGAGTTCCAGTTGCCATTGTTTCAGATAGGGATGCCAAGTTCACTTCGAAGTTCTGGGAAGGACTTGAAGTAGCGTTTGGCTCAACGTTGCACCTTAGTAGTGCATTCCATCCACAGATGGACGACCAGTCAAAGCGTACTATCCAGATCTTGTAGGATATGCTTCGGGCTTGTGTACTCGATTTAGGTGCTAGTTGGGAAGATCATCTACCGCTTATTGAGTTTGACTACAACAACAGTTATTAGGCGAGCATTGAGATAGCTCTATTTGAGACATTGTATGGCAAACCCTGCAAGTCTCCAATCTGTTGGACTGAGGTAGGCGAGACAGCCGCCTTAGGACCCGACATTGTACTCGAGACTACCGAGAAGATTAAGCTGATTAGACAGAGGTTGCTCACAGCTCAGAGCCGACAGAAGAGCTATGCGGATAGGCGGAGATGACCACTATCTTTTGAGGTGGGAGACCACGTTTTTTTACGGGTTTCTCCATGAAAGGGATTGATGAGATTCGGGAAAAGTGGCAAGTAATCGCCACAATTCATTAGACCGTTTGAGATTTTTGGACCGTATAGGAGAAGTTGCCTACAGACTTGTTTTCAGATGGACAAGGTTCATAATGTTTTTTAAGTGTCAATGTTACGGAAGTATGAGCCAGATCCATCCCACATTTTGAGTTGGGTTGATGTGGATATTAATGAGGATGTCTCCTATGAAGAAGGACCAGTTCAAATCCTTGACACACGGCAGAAAGTATTAAAGGACAAGACGATACCACTAGTAAAAATTCTTTGGAGGCACCATGGAGTCGAGGAGGCTCCTTGGGAGCTTAAACAGGAGGCTCACTCGAAGTACTCGGCATTGTTCTTTTTCCCAAGTACGACTTGATTTTAGGGACGAAATCTTTTTAAGTTGTGGAGATTGTGATGTTTCCATTTTTCGCAATTTTTCATTTCTCCGGGAATTTTGTCGTTGCAATGGCATTTTCTTCTTTTACCGTTTTATGTACCGGACACTGTGGAGTGTGCCGGTTGTGTTCGAGAGTTGTGATGAGTGCTGAAAAGTGCGTATTTAAATCCCTTAAGCTTAGGCATTCTAGTACCTTTATCTATCTTACTTTACCGTTTTAGATTGATTTCGTATTATTTCCATTTTCAGGCACTTATCCCGAAAATAAGCTAACTCAGCCAAATAAGAGCTTAATTGAAGCAATTCTGGGATTAAACAAAGAAAGGAGCAAAGTGGAGAAAGAAAGAAACAAATGAAGCCAAAGGTGGGAAGCAGCAAAGTTCGATCAATCCAACTCCAAGGTTCGATCGACCGAACACTGATCGATCTCAGCACTTCAAGATAGATCCAAGCCTTGGCCCAAAAGCAAAAAGTTCAAAGTTCGATCGATCCAACACCACCCTTCGGTCGATCGAACACTTTTGTCCTTATTCAAATGATTGATCCTATCCACAACTGTACCACCCACTAACCACTTTTGTCCTTTTCCCAAAAATATCTCTCAAGATATCTCGGATTTGTCTTTTCCCAAAAAGTTCAACCAGTTGGATCGATCTAGCCTAAGTTCGATGGATCTCAGCCAGTTCGATCGATCCAAATCCAAGGTTCGATCGATTGAACTTCCTCTAGTGCGAAAAAGTTAAATTTCTAGCTTGTGCAATCTGTCCTCTATCCAATCATTAGAGAATATTATGTGCACGACCCTAGCTCATTTTGGGTGTCACTTGACCTACCTATATAAGGATAAGGATTGCTTTTTACAAAAGGGGAGCCAATATATAATTCTAGGGTTTATTCTCTTGGAGAGCAAGTTTGGAAGAGGAGGAGGCTAGAGATACCATTGGAGACTCTTCATCAACCAAGGAGCAAAATCTCTTCCATGGAGTTAGCCCTTGAGGGTTGGAGCAATATCACCATGAGTGGCTAGACATCCTCTTGGGGCTAGAGTTAGCCCCAAGCATGCTTTCTACATCTTAATCTTGTGTATTATTAAGGGATTAGTGTTGTAATACATGTTTTGACACTTTTATATATATAGATCTTGTTTATTCAATGATTTATGTGGTTTAATGCTTTTAATTGATCATTTAATTCTATCCATATATCTATGTATGCTAGAATAGATGTTTATGTGTTTGCCTCTATTTCTTATGTTATTGATGCATGTCTATGTGTATTAATACTATAGATTTAGAGATTGTCAAAACAATGTACTTAAAAGAATGCTTTTGTGATTTTCTACATGGTCCATGCTCATTTCTTGATGGATTATCCCTCTCCCTTAGCTTAATTAGTTTAATTTTATGTCATTAGCCTAATTATAGTGTAGTGGTAGCATAGTTGTTAAATGAGAGGACAATCCATGCTAGTTGTTTGATATTCCACACTTTTGAATGCAAGTAGCATATGTCTCTAACCTTGTGGTGTATTTGGTTTGTGAGCTTAATGAAAAGATTAATGACTTGCCAGATATGTTGTGCTTTTCACATGCTATTTAGATAATATATACTTAATTGCTAGATATATTGTGTTTTTCATATGTTAATTAGACAATGTATGCTTAATTGGTCACCCTTGCTAATTGAATCAACTAAACACACACACACACCAATATTGCAACACACATTACCCTCATTAGTCACTAGTTAGAAGTGTAGAAAAGCATTGCTTGGTGGTGACCTCTAAACCCCAAGATTTCTCTCTCTCTTACTTACTCTTTGTTACATTCAATTACTTAGTTTAATTTAGTAGCTCTCTAGTTTAATTAACCAACCAACCATTGTTTGATCACTCGACCTACTAACCCTAATTGTGATTCTACAATCAAGTGCGACTCCAATCCCTTGGGACGATCCCTACTCACTCTTGCTACTTTAGTAGTAGTGTTGGTAGTGATTTTTATAAATTTAAACTTGACCTAAAAGGCTTTTCTTGAACCGCACATTCACTACATCAATTTGGCATGTAGGAACGGCCCTCTATCAAGTTGGTTGGGGAGTTTCATTGAGTTCAGGACTCTTTGAAATGAAAG